TTACTCACTATCTACACACACATTACCTTTCATTACCGCGTCACGTTTTCCCCTCTTATATATATACCAGCGTACCCTATTTCTTGTAAATACTAGACCATTCGCCAAGATACGGGATAGTTCTAGAAACAAGAGAGCGTGAGAATTGTCACGTGATCTCGATGACGCAACAGTATCGTAAAGTTGTATTCGGAAAGAATAAACCAGTTTTATTAGGTAAGAACTTGTGTCGCTAAAGTTTCGTCGGAACGAAGTTACGAAAAGTTAATTAACGAACGGAGACATTACAGTATGCTTTACTGATTTTTTATATTTATAAAGTAACCTTGTTTCTAGATATTTAGTAAAGTCATTCGATTAGTAACATTCACGAAAATTCTACTTATGATGTTAGGTTTCTTTGTTTGTTGAATTTCGCGCAAAGCTACTCATAAACTATCTGCGACAGCCATTCTTAATTTTAAAATGACAGATTGGATGGATGGCAGCTAATCAATACCACCACTGCCATCTGTTAATTATTTTTTTCAAACCAAAAGTGGGATTTACTGTTACGTTACAGTTCCCCACTTACGAGCATGTACGATGACGGGATTCGAACCAGTGACCCGCAGATTGCCAGTCGATTGTCTTAACCACCAAGTCAAGCCGCCATGATGATAATAAAACATGTACATTCAGAAAATCAATTTAAGACAAAAATAGAAAACCCTGTAAGCCATTTACTTTCGAAAGGTGGACTTTTCTTCACCAGTTTATCCCTGATGAAAGTACTCTGATTATAGGGTTTTGTAATTTTGTCAGGAAAATTCTCAGTATTGTTTCGTCTCCGTTTGTTAATTGATTTTCCGTAACTTTGTTCCGACGAAACTTTAGCGACACAAGTCCTTACTTAACAAAACTGGTTTATTCTTTCCGAATACAACTTTACGATACACTTATTTTCAACAATCGCGCTAAAACAAACGCTATATCAACGAACGTCAATAATACTTCTGACTGCAGTTCAATTACTCACTATCTACACCCACATTATTATTCTGTCACGTTGTGACCCTCTTTTATATACCAGCCTACCCTATATCTAGTAAATACTAGAGCATTCGCCAAGGTACAGGATCATAGAAAATAGGTGGCGCCACACGACTCACGTGACCTCGATGACGCAACAGTATTCTAGATCTACTTTTATAAAATAACGTGATCTTAAAATCAATATCAAAACAATGAAAATATAGCTTACAACAATATAATGTCTGTTATATACAAAGTAAAGTATATAATAAAAGCGACCTCTATAAGAGGAAAAGTGACACCGTCTCAAAACTAAATGTGTTTGTGTTGTGTCTCAGATTTCAGATGCTAAGTCTCTTACACTAATTACGTATTATACATATAGATAATAGTTATAGTGGGAAGTAAATAGTTTATATTTGAAAAACTACACACGCATTTATCGAAATGGATCCCGAAGCATTCCTCGAACTTGCAAACGAAGTTACCAAGCTAAAAATGTTTCCATATTTCGAGGCTGCTCACTGTGCAATAGTATGTATGTATGTGAAAGAAGACTTAGCATCTGGTAAGTGAAACTTGTGAGAATGCCTGCCACAAGGGTAAAACCAGGTTATATAGAGTAACTAGCTCTCCTCGTGATAGTAGTATTACATAAAAATAGTATTAGTTAGTAGAAATACTGCTAGTAATTTGAATAAATAATAAAATTAGTAAAAATACTCTTGACATTCTTGTATAAATATAATATTATTTGTGTGAGTAAGACATTTTGAAACACCATAAATTAGCTACTGTTGGACCTCTATTCGTACACCATTAGCAAATTGCACATTTAATTTAAAAGCATTGTATATCTTTATCACTTTGCTAAGTAAAATGCACTACAAGTTTTTTTTCTGTCACAAGTTAAAGAAGGCAACAAATGCAAAACAAAAAATAGTTATAACTTATGTTAACACTTGACATTTTCTACTTCAAGGATATAATGTGGTTGACATTTATTATAGACTTTACTTTCACACAAAGTTTTTATTAACAATGTAATTATCATATGTATAGATAAGTTATTTATTTGGATGTATAAGGACTAAAATTATAGTTTAGAGTTGATAGCTAGTCAGTGTTGTAAGATAATTCATTTTTATAACTAGACAAAACTACTAGTTTGAATTATTTCAGAACTTTGTAAGTATGCAGTGGCTAGATACCCAGCAGCCAGAAACAATCTTTCAAATATTATATACCATCATCATTATTATTAATATTACTGTGGGTCTCAATATTCAAATTTTTGGACTGCTAGGTGTTTAGTATTTGGAAGATAGTTCCTGGCTGCCAAGTATCTAGCCACTGTGTTGTAAATAATTAGAACTTTTAATCAAAACAAAGCTATCTTTATAGATCACAACTAAAAACCAGCTCAGCAGTAATGAATAAAACTAATTTAATATACCATTCTTACTTATAATGATTTGATCCATTAGTTGGGTACTCTCACTTTAATACTTTTGATCTCACATACTGACATAGTATGGCCACTTTAGAAGGTTTTGGTTAATAATTAATCCATGCACCAAGTTAACAATGCAAGATGATAAAAAATGTGTTATGAAAAATTTTAATTCATAAGATTATCTTATTTCAAACAACTTGATCAATACTGCTAATGAAACTAACATTTCAAAAAAATATGTAATATAACTTACTTAAAAACACTTAAAATTTGTTTTTTTGCAGTTACAGATTTCCTCTCATCTTGCAAAGCGTGACACGAACATATGTGCAGAATTTGGTACAATCCTTCTTAATAACATCTAGTGACCACTAAAAACTCATTAAATAGCTCCGACAGTGTCACTTTAAAGAAGCTTAACATCAGTGATAAATAACATTACTGTTTAAATATAGTCAAATAACAGTACAGTAGGGATTGTATGGCAAAACTAATGAATGTGAAAGTAAAAATAATAAGTAACAAGTTAAATTAAAAACAAAATTGTATAATAAGTGGTGAAAATATAATATATGAATTAACATAACTGAGTTAAAACATAATAAGAATAATTTGCTGAACATACAGTGAGTTTTGTATAAGATAGCTAATCTCTCTTACCATCTCCTATACACACATTAATTTCACAGAGCAGGCAGATGGAAGTTTGACATGTATACTTGTGAATGTGAAGCACTAAAGGGTTATATTCATATTTTCTTTTGATATTTTTACCATTTTTTATGGGTAGGGGGGACCATGGTAGATAAGTTAATACATTAAAAAGAGTGACATCATATTATAAAAGGTACCTGGTTTGAATTATTAAAATAAGTATTTCAGGTAATGAAATTATCATGGATATATTTAACAAATTTTAGTTTTATCCCAGTACAACTTAAAATATAATATTTTGTTACAAAATCAAAGTTTAAAATCATTGATTCTTTCTTTATATCAACTATTCTAAATTTTTACTATAATCGAGAGTTAAAAGATGCATGGAAAATAAAAACTTTACTTTCTTTTAAAAGAATTTGTGTTTAGTAACTAGTTTAAGAATTTAAATATCCTGTACCAAAATGTATAGTTGGTATGCAGGGCATTATCATACATTCCTGTTTAGTTAAAATCTGGTACAGCATTTAATTCCTTGGGTATTTTGCTTAAATAATAATAGAACACAAACATTAAATCAGTAGAAATGCTTTTGAGTAGAAGTACTACTAACTTAACATAAAGAGTCATTGGGTCCATGAAGGCCTTCCTTGCACATTTACCTTTAGGAAAAGTAAAAGTTTAAAACCATCCAGGAAATTAGTGATAACTCTCTTAAAGTTTTGTAAAGCAGTGGCCTCCACTACTACTGCTGATAGCAACTTGTTCCATAAGTTAACTGCCCTGTTAAAAAAATAAAACTGGCATAACTGGAGACTAGCCTGTTTTTTTAAATTTGTATTCTGTTATTATCTTCAGTACAAAGAAACATGGACATATCACCACATTTTTGTGGAATGGACTCAAAATAACTGACAACAATTTAAAGTCTACTAAGTTGAGTGAAACGTTCAGTTAAAATAATCTGTACATATTTAATAACGTTTCTAAGATGTTGTTTATGCAATATGTTTTTATTTTGTTTTTCTCATTATATTATTGTTAACCTAAGTTATACATTACAACTATGGATAACTTGGAAAAGTTGTTAGAAGTGTATTGATTCTTGAGATTTTATCTCTGGAAGTTTTAGGTTTTCAGGTTTGAACTGTAGTTATCAGGTATTTTGTGCTGGAGCACTACGTAATCAGTGTTTAATGGTCTTTATTACTTAAATATTATTTTAGACATAACAGCTACAAGTCAATTAAATGAAGGTAAGTAACTGTTAAACATTTTTTTTTTTTCATCAAAGGAGAAGATAAAAATTGTTTTGGCCTGGATAAGTTAGTGGTTAAGAAAAAAGTATTTGTCATAGTTGGCTGTTTTGCAAGGAATTCTGCCAGAGTAGCTTGAAACTGGAAAGTATGGAGAATGTATACCAAGCTAACAATATATATAGCATGTTGGGCTTAAACTTTGCCAAGTATTATATGTATGACAGTATTAGGTCCTCTAGACTGCTGGAGATCATATTTTATTATCTCTATGCCATCTCATTATGCAAGATCAAAATTGTATCTTCTTAGGTGTGCTTCCTTATTGATAAGCTTGTATTTTGTGGTTGACCCAATGAAGATAGTCCTAGTTATATATTGCAGTTTCATATATATATAGTTCATTAAATAGATTCTACCTGATGATAAGAATCTGCAGAATAAATATCTAAGATACAGCAATATAGATTAGGTGGACCCTAGAGTTTGGTTTGGATTACAACAGTTACACAAGACATAATTTTTTAAAATATAATATAACTAAGTTTAAATTTACATATCAAACTGTTGGTGGATAAATACATTTAAAAGAATGGTTACAGTTAACTTGGATTGAATGTTTTGGTTCTTTCTTCACCTGATAAAGAGAGACTAATGGGTCAAGTAACTTTCTGTTACCTTGTTAGCTGCAGCATAGTGGCTCATAGAACTGCTCTAGTTTTGGTTTTTTCAAGTACAAACTTTTAGCTCATAGCTCTGTCATCTCTTGGCTGATATGAGATCTAATTACAGTTTTGGACTCAGGAGGACAAACCCTTTCGATTGATGTACTTGACCACGCCCAAGGTCTCATAGATTAATTTATTCTAATCTTGCCTAAAAGAATTTAAATTTGAGGAGAGGCTGGTAGAGATCCTGATGAGTAATAAAATCTAATTGGGTATATGCTTGGCCCATGCTTGGTATTGCTGGTGCACAAAAATATAGCTAATATAAAGGAAAACAAAGGTCTCGTAGATTAATTTACTCTAATCCTGCCTAAAAAGAATTTCAAGTGCCGCGGCTATTGAGGATTCCCTCTTGTTTTTAAGCATGTTCTTACATATCTATATGTACATGTATATATAGAAAGAGCCTCAGTTACATATATAACTATCTGTAGAAATGGATATATATCATACATACTGACACACAGATACATATTATATTTATATAAATAATTATCAAATGTTAGGATGCTTTCTGTGTGTCATCTTGACCAGATTAAAAAAAGAGACTAGTTGTCATCCACAACTAGAAATTGCCACAGACTTAGATGTGTTTATATTTAAACTTTTCTACTTCTGTATTTTCTGTGTTTGATTGACACATCACTTATTCAAAAATTCAATTGACTGTAATTTTCTTTCTCAACTTAGCCCTTCAATTCCTGTTCCTCAACTGGTTCAGTCTCCCTCTACAATTCCCATTCAGGTTTTTAGGCCTTCCTAATTTCTTCATCTTCCTGCTACCTGATGGCTGGTTTGTTGTTTTTCTTGTCAGTGACTGTCTTTTCAAGTTGGGTCCAGTGGGTACCTGCCTTCTCTCTTTGCCAGCCATTGGTCTTGGTTTTCTGCCAATGGATGGGTTTTTCATGTTCTTCCCCACAGTCTTTTTTTACAGTTTTCTCTCTATATTTCCTTTTCTCTTCCCTCTGACCCCATCTATCTTCAGCATTGAAAGATTCCTTTGCTTTGGGGCCTCTGGCTTCCCTGGAGCCCCTCATTTCTTTTGAATGTACACACATGCACCTCTTCCAATGGACCTTGCAAGACCAGTGGATTCCTTCTATGGATTTATTGTCCTTGATTGTAAACCTCCCCTCTCCTTTACTCAAGGAATTATCATGGTTGCTAGACCATGCTAGACATCTTGCATTTCCTTACCATACCTCTGAGTGGTTCTCCATCTCTTCTCTGGTGCTTCCCTCTCTGGTTGGAGCATATATTTAAATGACAACATGACTTCTGACATTTATACACAGGATGATAGTTCACTCCACATTGATGTGCTTAAATTCCCAGTGTTCCTATTTTCTACTTCTTCTGATGGATCACTTGGTCATGATCCACTCCAACAATGCCATGATTGTTTTTAACATCAACCATCTAGGGAACCCATTCCAGGAGTCTTTGTTTGGTGGCATTGGACCTCCTCTTCTGGGCTCTTTCCCATCAAATCTGTCTTGTCACTTGTCATGTGCAGGGAGCTATGAACCTTGTTTGCAGACTGCCTCTCTGAGCCAGACTGTGCACTACATATGAAGTGGTCTCTCCACACCTAAATCATTTTTTGGGTTCACTCTTGGTTGGGCACTCCTCTCATGGACACCTTTGCGACCCCTCTCAACTCCAAGCTTCCTCTCTTCTGGTCCTTAATTTCTCATCCTTCAGCTCTGGCTGTTGATGCTATTAGCCAGACTTGGTCTTACCTTTTTATATATGCCTTCCTCCTTATTCACTCCTCCCTCAGATCTTTGCTTTGATATGCAACATTTCTTGTCGAGTCCTCCTGGTGGCTTCTCTTTAGCCAGCTCAGCCTTGGTTTCTTCTGCTTCTTTGGTTAGCATCCAAACCTCCTTCCTTAACCGAACGTCATCTCTCTAATGCTTCAACCTCACACATAGCTTTTTCATCAAGGGATATTTCCCCTCCATATTCATATGTAGGATATGTCTGGTCCATCACCTGTTAAGCTGGACTCTTCAGTTATGTAGCCTTTTTCTTGTCACATTCATATTGCCCTTTCATTTTGTCTTTCTACCAATGACAGTGGTAGGTCTTTTGTTGTTGGTCCATTTGCTTCTCCTTTCTTCCTGGCTATCCTACTGTGAACCACCTTTCTACCTTTTTTTACTTGACTGTTCAACCATGGTTTGTTGGTCTTCACCATTGCTTGTTATCAGCAGCATTGTACACTACATTTCACCCTTTTTTTGTATCACAGGGTGTTTCTTCCCTGGCCTCTCTACTCTCTTCCACGTTTTCCTACTTTGCTGACCTGGTGTTACATGGTCCCAACTGTGTCCTGTTCACACTATTGGCTTCTTGCTCTTTGTACCACCTTTTTCTGAAGACTTATGTCCTTCTCCTTCTTGCCTGTGGTCACTGGCATTTGGATATCTATGCTATTGATGCTTCTCATACCCTCTTCCACAAACGTTATTTACTCCTGCATCCAGACTGGTCATAAGACTTCTGCTGCTAGATAAGGCAACTGTACTCTCTCTCCTATCTCCTTTTTTTCTATCTTTCATTTATATGTTTGTTCAGACCCAGATGGGCTCCATGTCCTAGTTGGACTGTTCAATGTTACTTATCATGGATCTCTCCCTTTCAGAATCCTTGCCATCATTTGTTCTTACCCTGGGACCTCTCTTCTTCCAGTGACCTCTCTATTTTTACCTTTAATGGATAGGTCCATTAACACCTTCTGTTGGTTTATTCTTCTCTTGATATGGATACTTGCAAGCTATATCACAATTCTTTGCATCAGCTTCATCATCTGTCTCACTCTCTTGCTTCCCATCTTTTCAAGCCTTTGAATGAGATTCTCCAGGCAGGCTTGTGGACAACTCCCCATATGTTCATCGCTTATTATCTTCATCATCTGGCTGTTTTGTCTCTCACAGGATTTCAATTTCCCCTGGTCACCATTCTTCAATCAACCCACCATTTTTTGACAAAGGCAAGTATAATTTCTTATTTCTTTTCTCATCCTTCTTCTCCAGGATCTTGCCAAGTGGTTAGTGTTGCTTCCCAGGGTATTCTTTTTTTCCCCAATGTCTGCATTGGGCCAGGGGTAATAGAAAGCACTGAAACCATCCACTCTGGCTCTGCTAGTACCCATTGAAAGGTGGATTGTTCCCCAAAACCTCGATTGTCTGATCCAAACTGTACCAATTCCGTGGACTATCATGGAAAAAAAGCTGGCATCAGGGAAGTGACTACCCTCTTGTTTGGCTCGTGCTTGTCTGCTTTTAAAAATAAGGTTTTGCAGTCATCCATTGCACTGTCTCCCCAACGTGAATCCCCCCCCCTCCCCCAGGAAACACTTACCAGTTCCTAGCTGCTAAGATGGTGGACCATGGAGACCCTCAGTGATTGGGCTTAGTATAATATGGTGAGAAGTAGGATAGTAGTGATACTGCCATCTCTCATACAGCTAATGTACCCTTATTAGTGACACTGTCAGTGTAGTATGGGCTATCTCATACAGCTAATGTGCCCTGCAGCCAGAGAGTCAAGGTGAGCAGACATTGTGCAGTCTGATCACACCCTAACCACACTACACATATTGGCTCACCAACCACTTGTATGCAGGTACTTGGTTGGTTATGATCACATTTGCCCATCCCTGCAACATTTAACCATTACTTGCTTAGCTAGAAGATAGGAAAGAAAAACTTACATCAATAGTATTCTGACCTTTTCTTAAGTCATGTCAAAAATCATCCATTGTAATTAAACTTTTTTTGTGTTTGTAGGTTTGTTAGTTAGCTGAGGTTTTTGATCATAGTATTATAAAGTAGTTAAGGTATCATGAATTTAATCCTGCTTAAGTCTTTCTATTGATATTCATTGTTAGGACTATGAAAATGATCTTGTAAGTTATTATTTAGTCATAAATTTGAAGCAAAAAAAAGTAACATTGAATAGTTAAAAGGTAAAATAATGTGTATTTAATGTGTATGTAAAATCTTCAGTTTTTGTGTCACCTGTAGTATGTTTTATGAAATACAAAAATTAGTGTTCATGCTTTAACCCATTGACTACGGCTACTCTAAACGTGTGCGGAATCTTTGCAGTTCATACACCTTATATGGCACACTGACATTCAACTTCCAGAGGCGTACATTATACAGTGAATCGGCAGTCAATAGGTTAAGTATGAGCTCTAACAACCATGATTCATGCTCTCACATGAGTATCAAGTTATCAATCTTTACAGAAGTCTACCTCTTTCTACTTAACATCACTGATGTTTATACTAGTATTATTAATTTTATAATGAAACAAAAGATATACAGTAAAATATTTCTTATTACTTTGTGAATTTATGGTGTGATCTGTGATTAAGTTTCTTTATCCCTTAATAACAACATGTAAAGTTTATAGTTTTACAACAGATTCATGGCATAAGTAAAAGTTTAAGTTTTATGATTGATTTAAAATTTATTCACAACATATTTTTTACAATAACGGTAAGATTACTTTGATTTATTTTGCAGGATCTCACATGTTTTCAAGGAAGCATCCCTTGGCTTGCTGGCTGTCTTGTATGTTGTCTATTTTTGCGGGTACGATTCTTTGTAACTTTCTTTTGGGAGAACCAGCACTTTTGGCATTTAAGAACTCCAATTCTCTTCTTCTTGCTACAGGAGTTTGGTAGGTGTTCTTTGTGTATGTATCATGAGAAAATTGTTTTTATTAGATTTTCAAGTAAGTACCTCATTTCATTATGCATTAGGTGTGTTTTAGATGGCCTAACAATAATAAATGTACTATAGTTTAGTCAGCAATATTGTACTGTTGTGGGTTTAATACATATTGCATGGTATGGTGATGAAATGTGACAAATTACATGAACACCTGGTTGTGTTTGCTGCCGTGTATCATACAATTTGTACACAGAAATGTATACTGTGTGTCATAACAAGTTAATTCACATTTATGTATCAAAATAGCACATTTTTGAATGAAGATTTTAAAAACACAGGAGAAGCTAAACTAATTCTCTATATAAAATTGATATAAGAAGATTATACATGAGAAAGATGTATTCCAAGACGATACCCCAGCTCCACACGTAGTTAAACTATCTTCTCCACATGTTACTAGCCTTTAGGCAACTCGCACCTAAATTCATGGGATTTTATGTAAACTGCATGATGATGTCATCATTTGGTAAAAGACCTCCACCAATAGGAGGGCAATACACTTCCATGTGCACTAACTCCCCCTATGCACTTGGCTCATGAATCTTCATTTCTTTTCCTTGGAACTGAACACTGCAGATGTGTTTTCATTCCTTTAACTTACTGAGATTCCCACTGTTAACAAAATTTAGTTTTTATTCTCTTTCTTTAAAATTAATTCAAAAATCAATGTGTTTTCCTCTTCTACCTGTGTGAATGAAAAATTTATTCACACAGGTTATGTTTTGACTGTGTGGCTTGCTGAGTGAAAAAGATGTGATGGCTATTGTTCAGCAGTTTTTGGGATCCATCATGAAGCCTTGGCCTTCAGTCCATGTCCATTCTTAAGGTATCCCTTCCCTACAGTTTGAGGGGAGAATGAGGACAATGACTTTAATCGCCTTTTCATACCTCCTGGTTTTGCCGTAGGAACATCACTTCCAGTCGAGTCACTTCTATTTCATTTTCGTTATTATTTCACTCTCTTATCCTTCTTCTTATTCACCTGGTTTGTGTGAAACCTTTGAGCCGGGGTATACACAAACTTCTCCTAATATTGTACCTACTTATTGTTTGGTTAAGTTTTTATCTTAGTGCTTAGTGATATCCTTTTTTTGTATTTTTCAATTAGGGTTCACCAGTGTTTGTTATTTTCTGTTTACCTGTAGTTCTGCTTCCGGGTTAATCAATTAATCAATCATTTGTTAAATATCTTGTTCAATTAGGCTTAATAAATAACTGTTATTTTCAGTTTACCTGTGGTTCTGTTTACAGGTTAATCAATAATTAGGTTAAATATATTTTTTTCAACACATAACATTACATACATATGTTTATTTCGCTACACAATTTCTTGCCATTTCCACTATGATGATTACTTTACTTTCATCTTTCTTTATAGTTTATACTTCTTACAATTGGTTTCATTTAATTTATAACTTATACTTCCTACCATTAATTTTGTTTATGAGGGTCCATGGGGACTGGGGCCCACCCTACCTGCTCCCAATATTGCTCGTCTTCTTCCTATAATGGCAGAACCCATTTTCAGATGACCTAGTTTTTGTCAGTTTTCCTCCACCTTCTCATGAAGGTCCTCTAGGCCTCTACTGCAGAATATGCCAGGCCTATCTAAGTTATTTTCTCTGTATATTCCACTTCTCAAGACATTGTTTTACGATGATCTTTTTGTCTCTCTTTTGAGATTGGGTACTTGCAAGCCTCACCCTATACAGGTTTTAATTCTTTTTGCCTTAGCTTACCATCAGGCAGATTTTCTTTCTGATTTATGTCAGTTGCATCTTTGTTAATCCTATCCATTTTATTCCCCACCTAGTTTTTTCTTAGCTTCATTTTCACCTATTGACACTCCTAGAGTTAATGTTTACCTTCCATCTTCTTTCTTCAGTGTTCCACTTATACTTAGGGATTATCATGGGATACTTCTTCCTTTCATGTTGTGATGTTTGTCATCTTCAGTTCGTTCCCTTCATATGTGGCTTCTTTGCTTTTAGGATCTTCTGTGGTGGGACACTGCTGTTTGTTTTCCATACACTGCTAATTGGGTCTTACGGTCAGTTCTTTTTCTCCTTTGGTCAATTTTTTTTGCTACTCCTGTACATTTAGCAGCACGTGGGATATCTGTGATGCTATATTCAATTTTGTTTTATTCTGAGATATTATTATCTATTTTTCATTTTATTTGTTCGGTACCTGCCTGTCTTTTACCTCTGTTACCAATGAGTTTTCTTTATTCGTCTTGTTTGTTCAATGCTGATTGGATATCTAGATTGATCGGTTCCACTTTAATCATTTTATAGGTCTTCCCTGGTTTAATATATCATCTTTATCACATTTGGGTAGAATGTTGCTGCAGGACTGAGAATGCATATGGTATATGTTTTTATCTTCGATGTTTTTCACCATGTGATTAGGTACCTTTTTGTGTCTTGACCTTTGGACTTTGTTTGGTTCCATATATCTTTTGTGGGGCAGTTTGCATTTTCCTCAACTTAAACATTTGGGGAATTTTACCTACATTATTCATTGGATGTCTGGCTTTAGTTAGCTCATTTTGAATGGAGGTAGTCTTCTGCTCCTTCCCTAGTAGTCTCAGATAGTTGGTTTTTCCAGTTGGATAAGTTTTTCTTGTTGCATTCCTCACATTCAAGTCTCTTTGGGGTGTGTATTTTTAAACACCCCCCTCCTTCGAGAATATCCATTCTCTTCTTTGAATGTATTTGAAGGTGTTTTCAGTTATCAGAGCCTTTACTAAGGGTTTTTCTCCTCATTTTCATCCTTCCCTCTTCATCCGTATGCATTGACAGTTCAACATATCCCCCATGACTTTGGGTTTACTGTTTCCTCCCCCTCTTCTGGATTGTTTCTCTTCTCTGATGCTCATCTCCAAAGGTGGGGTCTGTTATTCTGTCAGTAGGAGACTTCAGGATAGTGGTGTCCAGTTGAAAGGTTTTATCCCCTTCACATACAGGGACTTCTGCTAGTACAAGGTGCTTCAGTTCACACTTTTTTTTTTGTCTAATTTGACTGATCCTGTTCATTTCACCGTGTTGAAAGTGATGGCTTACATCACTCGCCTTCTAATTCCCTTTGAGGTAAACAGGATTTGACATTTAACCCTCGTGCCTGACTTGTGTCTCCTGGAGGATTGTGTTCCACATGCTTTGTCCTTGTTGCTAATTGAATTTACAATTCTGACATCTTCCATGGAGTGATCTTTCAATCCTCTTAAATTTTGGTGGCTCTACCTCTTGTGGGATACTCTTCCACTTGAAGTTTTGAATCTTTTCCCACTTAGTTATCTCTTCTCTTTTTGTTCTGTGGTTCATCATCCTCTTGCTTTGACTGTCATCAAGTTCAGGCAGGTTCATATTAGTTTCTTCTCATTCTATTAGTCTTCTTCCCGAAAAATTTGTGTGCATCCATGTCACTTCGGTTTAGGTCTTTCTGATTGATCTTTCCTGGCCAGCACTGCTTTGGTTCTTCTCAGCTGTTTCGGCTCGATTTGTTTCTTTTGTTCTGGATCGATTTTATTAACTTACATTTTAGTGGCTCATGTGGTATATTTTTTTCTTGACTTTTATGTTTTTTACCATTTTCCACGTTTCTTCTCAATGGGATCTGGATGACCTTGAGAGTCCTTACTGCTTTCCAGTTCCAAGCTGCTGGGGTTGTGGACCATGGAGGCATCCTCCTGTATGTGATAATGAAATACAAATAATATATATAAATGATTATAAAACCATTCAGTTGAAAGTAGGGCAGTGATGCTCTGCTGGTGTAGGTGAAGTGATATCCTCCAATATGACACACAATAACAAATGGGAGTGTGAAATCAAAATTGCAATTCACCCCTTCGATTGGGATCCCTACTACTTCCCAAGTAGATGTCGGTTCCCAGTGGCAAGGTTTTGGATTTAGAGTAGAACCAATCAGCCTAAGACCTTGCACATGTATTACAGGTGTCTATATTCCTCCCTTATTTCTTCTTCATCAGTGTTGTGGGTCATGGTGGAAGTACTTGTGGATTATTATGGTTCTTTCCCTTCTGCTATCCCTCAATGCTTATTATTCCAAGGATGTTACAGTGCTTGTGGTGGTTCTGGTCAATTTCACTTTTTTTACATTACGCAGACATCTTTTCGATATTGGATGTTGGGTTCCCGAATCAGGCTATCAATGAGTCGGGGAGTGGGGGTACTAGATTCCCTCTGGTCTCATGAACTTGAGGTAAAGACAGTATGATCCTCTTTCCTACTCCCACTTGGGTTTGGGATTTTAGTTGACTTGCCACTGGTATAAACCTCACCCCACTCCCATGTTGATGTCGGTTCCCAGCGGCATGGGTTTTGGATGTAGTTGATTTGCCATGTATGGTCCGTCGCGCCCCAGCCACTCTACACCTAGGGGCACAACCTTTTCATTTCACCCACTTTTATAATTTCTGGGATTGAGTTTCATAAATATTGCATTGTTCAAATCACTTTCCGGCCATAGTTCTCTCTGTTTTCCACCCATATATTTGACATCTTTCTATGATGGGTCAAGAGTATACCTGGTTCAGAAGTGGTGCAGTTCCCCACAGCAGATCTTAGAATCTGACTGTCTCATTTTAGGAGTGTCCTTCTGACTCTTTCAAAGGATGCTTCTTTCTTTCCCTCACACCAATCCCTCTAATTATTCAATGTTGGATTCTAGCTACTATGTGAGCGGAGTAATGTGCCATATCAGAAGTTATAATTTTCCTATACTGAAAATGTATTTATGATAGGTACTTACCTCCGCTCACACTTCCCACCCTTCCTCCTCACTGAAAACCAGTGCTTCCATTTTCTGCCAAAACTTGAAGTGATACTTAAGTAGAATTGAATAGAGGGAGTCACATGCGTCAAGAGGATATGTCACACTCTTATTGGTGGGGGGTTGATGCATGAGAGATGCATTGGAAACAGTCAATTCCAAGGAAGGGAGGTAGAACGTTTACAGCATTCTTAAAAAAAATTGTTTGCATATAGAGGGCAGCACTGAACAAGAATAGCTATTTATATGAAAGAAGGTAAGTACCTATCAGAAATACATTTTCAGTGTAGGAAATTTATAACTATCATCATTTCCTGGAAATATTACAGAATTTGTGTTATTGATGAAGTTAACTTATTTTGAATTGCAATGTATTTGATTCTATTAGTCATCTTTATGTATAAGTAGTTAACAAAATTAATTTTCTGAACAATGAATTGTAAGGTTAAATGTTTATTCCATTAGGCCTATATGTAAAAAGAATAGATATATAAAGTTCAGGTTTTTTGTGTGTTTGTCAATGTTTTGGGGTATAATGTAAAAGTCTAACAGAACAAATGGAGGTATGTGATTTTAAAATTGATTAATTTTTAGGTACTTAATGTTCTACTCCCCCCTTGACTTGCCTTATAAGGTGTGCAAGTTCCTGCCTGTGAAATTGGTGTTAGCTGCAGTGAAGGAGGTGTACAGGTGTAAAAAAGTCCATGATGGTGTAGCACACGCTGCCATGTTATACCCTACTGGATATCTGATCATGATCATTGCAGGAATAGTTAAAGGTTGGTAGAAACTTATTTTTACCAATATCTAAAAATTATTAAAATTTTTACGATTGGAGGTAGAATGTTCTTCTTGTTTAGTATGTCTGAGCATAACATTTTTTGTTTGTAAACAGGAAAATAAGTTTTATGATTTTTTCTTTTCTTCTTTTTATTTTTTATAAGAAAAGGACAAAAAAAAAGTATTAACAGTTTATATTCTTGTAGGTTTGTCAAATATGTTATTTGTAAGTTGTTTTGTTTCTGGAATATTTTTGTGTCAATAACCAATACAAAGACTCTTCAGGCTGGCTTGGATATGACAGACATCGTATCATATCCACTTGACAGTTATTATGGTTTTAAAATCTAATAAAGGGCGTATTAGTCAACTCAGAAACTTATGTTTCTCTTCACCCCACTAGTGGAATTAAGAGATATTCTAAGGTAAATTCGGAAAATTTACTAGAATGAATAAAACTTTATATAGCATACTGAGTTTGAACAATGAGGTATGAACATTAAGCTCACGGATTGTTGATAAATTTACATGGCACAGGTATGTACAAAGCATGACTAATTGAGAGCCCCATGACATCTGGGAGAGCTGTGAAAACTGAAAGCAGGAAGTTAGGGATCGGAAACATGATGGAAAGGTGTGAAAGCTGAAAGATAAGTGAACGAGTAACAGGCAAAGACAGGATAAGTGACTGGCTTGGAGGACCAAGGCTGTGACAAAAACAGAGAGTTCCTGAATAAAAGTCATGTATAAAATTTTCAACTAGAAGAAAATTAAGATTTAACACAAATTGGAAATTTAATCATATAATCGTTGATCATTAACTTGGAATGGGCACCTTTTCAGGGCTGGGATCACAGGATCCCAAATTTAAAGGTAAAAATTTTGCTGAGGGGGAGGGAATGGGAGTACCCTGAGAAAAATCCACTTTCACTGGGCAGGTGCCGATTAATCTACCTGCCCAATGCTCTTGACTCATGGCTGAAAAGGAAATAACTTGGTTAATAAGCAACAAACAAGGTCATATATATACTTCAAGTGACTTTTGTAACCATGTTATTAAGATTCTTGGTCAAGTTAAAAGAAGATATGTAAGTGATCCAGGAGGCTACGATTTGGGATAAATCTTTTGTTTGGGAGATACGTTGGTGCGTGTGTTTGTAATGAAGGTGTTGCTAGCCTAAATAGGCATTCTTTCGTGGGTGGTATGATTGAGAGTGAGTTCAGATACTCTGGTGGGCTATAATTTAGGAGTCTATGGGCTAATTTCATTGCTCTATTCTGAAGTACAAAATTTAACATAAATTACTTACTATAATATCATCATTACTCAGGCAAATCATAATTTTCACAGCCTTCAATCTTATTTGGTTTCAGATCCATGAAATAAACAACCAGACCTGGCTTGCCACACCCATCTGTCACATCCTCTCTTTTAGGAATTGCCAATAGTTCTCTCTGATGTTCAGTACTATAGTATTTATAACCAATAGAAAGCGAAGGCTTTTGTGTAACAAATGACATATTACATTACATTGTTTTCTGTACAGAGAATAGTCAGTTTCTCTTCCAGTTCAACCTTTGTTCCCACAGGAAACATATTGGTGGGATTAGCTGAATTCCTATTGGTTCTTTTTGGATAATTAGAAAGCTAGAAAAATTGTGATATGTATGGGACATTATCTGTTTTTCACTTACTATTAATTTCTGTTCTTTGGTGTATTATTTAATTCAATAAAAATTATTTAGTGCAGTAGTATCATTAGTATAAAAATGTAGGGTTAAGTATCATCAACAGTTGACAGCCAAAAATAAAGACCCAGGTAAGTACTTGATTTCTTGTTTTTCATGTGTATTCTTTATCTGTTATTATAAAAGTAGCTAAAATGTAAAAATTGGAAACTTTTTATGTTATTTAAGGTTAGATTAGGCGAAGTAAATAATAATAATATAATAAAATTGTTTCACTGGGTATGCTTGTGAGCAACTCGTGCATAATGTAACTTGATAATCTAATGTTAGCTGCATGCTACCAAGTGATATACAACTTATAATGGTGAGAATAGTAATTAGACAGGGTTCAAAGAGCAATAAAACAATAAAATTTACTGTAATGAGTGTAAAGCTATATAGGATAAACAAATGTAGTTTCTTATTACAATTTGAAGTCATTCTAGAAAGAAAAAAAGGGTAATTTAGAGTTATTTCTATTTTTTGTTTTGGTGGTTACGAGGTCAGTCAAACTGACCAACCTTCTATAAAGCTAGGGTGGAAAATATAGCATATAAAATATAATGTTTTACTGAAATAAAGATTGAAATTCACTTAAGAGGCTTTAGCAATTGTGCAAATAAATTTTGAGGTTTTTGAGACAAAGAAAAGTATTTTTAATCTTAACAAGGAAATCACTGAGCACTTAGACTAGTATCTAGAAATACTATATCTATTCAGTGATAAATCTTTAGTAAAATTACTTCATTAAAAAATCTTTTTTTGTACAAAAGACTTGTAATTTTACTAATAGGCTGCCAAAAATTTGTGAAGATACACATACTGTATTAAAAGTTATAGTATAAAAACTATAACAAATATAAAATGGTTATGAGGTCAGTTCCTGGGACTGAGCCCATAGTGAGAGAGTTAAATGCCCTATTTACAGCACTTCAAAAAATACTGTACATGTTTCTGTATCAAAATGGTAAGTACTAAATTATTAACACTAGACAGTTATGTTGCTGTACAGTGAAAAATTACAAAGTTGTGTAGTGTTCAGTTTGTCATCTTTTACACTAAGTTTACTGATTTGAAATTGCCCAAATAATGTTATTAGTTATATATTCTTGAAATATTTTCCACCACTTGCAATGCATTATATCTTTGACTGACTCATACTCATAAGTCTTATTATATAATTCTTTAAAAAAATGTTTTGAAACTTTAAAATTAATAGTTTGAGTATCATATTAGTAATGTATGTAAGAATACTCTTACGATATCAGAGGCTGATTAAATAATGTTTTAAAAATGCTACATCAGTACTACTCTAGATTAACTCCCATCTAGGAAACTGATTATGAACGCTTATGGCAGTTTTTTCTACTTTACACCATTTAACCCTTTCCTGACGAGAGATATGTCATTAATACCCATTAATTTTTTCATTCTCACAGTGGGAATACTTAAACAAATTGCATGAAACTTAGATCAAATTATTAGTTTCAGCTTCAAAAAATATGTATAATTTGATTTAGTTTTTCTGTTAACCCTCTCGCCCCAGGTATCCTTTACTGTGCATGACACAAGGTTTTAGGGTCTTAAATTAAAAATTTTATTAAACTACTTTTTGTTCATGTTATACCAATTAGTATAGCATAAAATCTTAGCTAATAATCCAAATTTTAATAGTATATAAGTTTGAGTTCTTAATTTTATAAAGCAATATTTAAAAAATCTTGAATTTCGCCTAGTGTGACACATGTGACACATTTTCTCTAGGTATCTTCTCATCTCTTATTTTATCCCCCACCAGAAACTATGAAATTAAATGTAAATTACTTACTGTAAAATCATCACTGCTCAGACAAACCATAATTTTTATAGCCTTCAATTTTGTTTGGTTACAGAGGTATCAAATAGAAAATCAGACCCCTCCTGCCAAACCCATCTGTCACATCCTCTCTTTCAGGATTTGTTAATGGTTCTCTCTTAAGTTTGATACTATATTATTTATAACCAATAGAAAATCATCTATCAAATGACATATTCTATTACATTGTGTTCTGAACACAGAGTAGTCAATTTCACTTCTAATATAACTAGCTTGGATGCATTTGTAACAGCTCTTGTCACATAGTTAGAAAGCCAGAAAAATTGTGATTGTTAGAGGAAATTATCTACTTTTTCTGTGTTATTAGTCTATGTTCTTTGGTGCATTATTTAATTAAATAAAAATTATTTAATGAACTATTACCATTAGTATACAAAAGTAGGGTTAAATATCATCGATAGTCAACAGCAAAAAAGAATACTTGGGTAAGTACTTTACTTCTTGTTTTTCATGTTTATTCTTTATTTATTATTATAAAAGTAACTAAAATGTAAAGATAGAGATCTCTAGGTTAATTAAGGTTAGATTAAGTAAAATAAACAATAATAATAATATTATATATATATATATTTCATGAGCATGCATACGAGCACCTCGTGAGTAACATAATTTGATAGCATAATGTGAGCTGCACGTTCCCCAAGTTATTTACAACTTGTAATGGTGCGAATAGTTGTTAGACATGGTTCAAAGGGCAATAAAACAATAAAATTTAATTATAAATAGATGTATACTGTTACGAGTTTAAAGCTACTTAGGATAAACAAATTTAAAGTCATTCTAGAAAGAAAAGTCGGTAATTTAGATTTATCTATTTATTTTTTATTTTTTGGTAGTTACGAGATCAATCAAATTGACCAGCCTTGTGTAGAGGTAGGGTAGAGAAAACAACAGATAAAATATAAAGTTTTAGTGTAAACAAACATTTGAAATGTATTTAAGAGGTTTTAGAGATTACACAAATGAAATTTGAGATGAAGAAAAGTATTTTTAATCTTAACATGAAAATTACATTGAACACATTCTATTCAAAACAAATACTCTATATATTCATAGACAAATCTTTATTTTATTTTATTAAACTTATTTCACTAAAAATATGATTTTTTGTATGTGAAAGACTTATAATGTTAACTGAAAGACTGCCAAATATTGTGAAGATATACACACTATATCAAAAGTTAGTAGTATCAAATCTATAAAAACTATACGAGTACAGAAAGGTCACATGGTTGGTCAAATTGACCGAGCCCATATGGAGAGAGTTAATTTTTTATATCGTTAATTATGAAAACTTTATTGCGAGAAACATTTTTTTAAAAACATTAAAAATGCTTCATTTTATCCTAGATTTTAATTTTTGTTTTTTCATTGTAGATCATTAAGTTGCATCTTGTATATCAATCAGTTTCAACTTGATTTTAATTAACGTATTATTACTTTTGATACTGTGTTTTCCTGTGCAGTAGTAATCACTTCCAGCTATAAATCATAAAAAATACCACATAAACTGATATATATTTATCAGTAACCATACATTGCAAAATGTCATCAGGTCTGTTTCTTTTCAGTAAATAATAATCTCTTTTATTTATTTTCACTGTTTGAATATAATAAACTTAACACTATTAATAAATATGGATTTGAGTCAGCTGAATGTTTTGCTATCACCCACTGTACTTGCTAAGTCTTATTAAACTTAACTGATATCATGTCATAAAAGAAAATGTGCATAGCTTTCAAAAAATTATAATATAACATGAAAATAACATCTAAAGAAACATAAAAATTTGTATACCTGTAGTTTGTTTTTAAGTCTTTAACTTCACATTAGATTCTTTTGTTCTTCATAGTTAGGTCAGTTTTCCTCAAAACTTTATATTATTTCTCATATTCATATAAATAGTTTATAATTTACTCTATCCAGTGGTATTTGAACTTTGACTGTAGCTCTATAAATAGTGTATAATTTACTCTATCCAGTGGTATTTGAACTTTGACTGTAGCTTTATAAATAGTTTATAATTTACTCTATCCAGTGGTATTTGAACTTTGACTGTAGCTCTATAAATAGTTTATAATTTACTCTATCCAGTGGTATTTGAACTTTGACTGTGGCTCTATAAATAGTTTATACTCTATCCAGTGGTATTTGAACTTTGACTGTAGCTCTATAAATAGTGTATAATTTACTCTATCCAGTTGGTATTTGAACTTTGACTGTAGCTATTCTCAAAGCTGAACTTCATTGGTAGTTGTGCAGATTGCATGATGTGAGGTCAAAAAATGGTGTGAACAAGAGACTATGTATAAAATCAGTAAAATGGAAAGAAAATCATATAAGAAACAACACATGGATATTTATAGTATCAAGGAATTATAATTTCTTAGCAAATAAAAGCTAATTCTTTTTGATTGGCAGAAATTTTGAATCTTTAAGTGTGTTATCTATAGGCTACAAAGCTATGTAGAAATGTAAGTTGGAATTTTTTCTAGCACATTACACTAAGTGATTGTAACAAAATATCAATTCTAAAATATTAGTGAGTTAAACATTGTTGATACAGAGTTTTACAATTGTTATTTTTACTTAAATTTTGAAACTTGATGAGCAGATTTGCACTGGACATCTGAAAGGTCCTCAGTAGTTTTAAAAGCATAATAATAGAAGTATGTTATAAATGTTTCTTCTTTACAACATGAGGCATTATATTCGTAACTAAATTATGGACTCATTTACTTCTCAAATAGATCAGATAATAATTCTATTTAGATTTTGTTTACTTGGGATTTTTTAATTTTCTTATCAATTCTTAATATTAACTGTTTAATACATTTCTCTTAGCATCAGTTTACTATTTTCTCTGTAATTGTTTTTTGTTTGTTTTAGTTTATATGATTGTATATGTTGTACATGTACAGTTACTTTTGTGTGAAATAAAGCTTCGTGAGTAATGATAAGTTTTTTTTTTGTACAAGTTAGAGCAAAATATATTATTTTTAATGTTTTTTTAATACCCTATGTATTGTTAATAGGAAATGGAGGAGCTATCTTGAAATTACTGGAAAGGTTGTTTAGAGGTGTATGGACCCCATCAGCTGTTGAATTCATGCAACCAAGCTTGTGAGTGAGATATCTTTGTTTTTTCTTATACAGAAAATAATTAGTTAAACATTGTTATTATCTTTATTTTTCAATAAACTCCTTTTCTTCATATTTCTTAGTTTTTCTTTTTCATCCTTCAGCACTTACATCAAAGCCTGAAATAATTATTAAAATCAGATGTGTTTGTTGTCAAACAATAATTGTTTTAGTCTATTAATAAAGAACAGCTAAGATAATGGAAACTTTAATATCTTATGTATATAATCCAAATACTTGTTTTTCCATGAAGATGAATAATATGGCTCATAATGATGTTGAAAATTGTTTCACATAACTTAAAAAAACGTTTTTTTTTAAAGCATCCTACTTTTACCCACTCATTATGATTGATCAAATAATTAATTTGGTAATACCTGTAATAAGAGTTTATTTTCAATGTTATCAGTTTTTATCCTCGTGTTAAAGATGTATACAATTTCTTTTTTAGTCCTACCAAAGCTTGTGCAGCTGCATCCTTCATTTTTGTGCTGAATAAAAAAACAAATCTGATTTCTGCGCCGTCTTCTCTTGTTTACTTTGGAATTGCCATCTTTTTTGTTTATTTTAAACTGTCTTCTGTTCTTCTGGGCATTCACGATCCTTTTGTACCTTTTGAAAATCTCTTCTGTGCTGTCTTTATGGGTGGTATATGGGATGCTTTGGGTCATGCAGTTCCTACTGCAAAAGGAGAGCACACACCTATAAAAGTTGATTCCACCAAAAATGGAAAAACTGAATCTGGAAGAAAGAAGGATTAAGTAAAGCCTGTTGAAACTAGTCAAAGGTGAGAAGTGAGTAAGGTAATTAGAAAAAGTATGCTTTTTTAAGCTTAATAGATTTAATTACTTTTCTTAATCATTGTATAGTAAATTTTGTTGACATTTTTGTCTTGTCAAATAAATTGGCTACAGTTGTTTGTGTTTTTATATTTGAAAATTTCCATACATTGCACATTTTCTTATGTACTTAAAATAGTAGCATGTTTTCATACTACTGTTAAACATGTTTAAATCACAAGCACTTGTTATATAGTTGATCATTTCCTCTCACACATTTCACAGCCATGAAAGATTTTGAATTACTATAACTTTTTAGGGTGCTGTTATGTCTGTAATTAATCAAACTTTTAACATTGCTCCAATTTTTCAGGGTAATACAGGGTTCTAGTTAATCCGAACTCCTGGGTCCCTTATGCATGAGAATTTGTCAGGACGTGTGAGATATAACTCCCTGGGTACCGAATATGCACCAGAAAATACCCCATATGCAAGGCAAGCACAACTACTGTGCTTCCAACTTTGTTTCGTAACAAACTAAACAGGAAACAGTACGTATACAGCTGTCCACCATCAATTTTTAACAGATTTTGTCAATGACAATAAATTGCACAAAAATAAAACCACATGAAAGTACCACATGATTAACCCATTAACTTCGGGTAGGTCAAAGTGTGCAGGTTACAACCTTTCATAGAGTTACATTCAAAATTTAATTAAACTTCTTTATTATTAATGTATATGAATAAACAGACTGTAGTTAATAAATCAAAGTTTACTATTATTCAAGTTTTAAGTTCTTAATTTTATGAGGAAATATTTTTTTTAAATCCTCAATTTCCTCTAGTGTGAGAATTGTGACATTTAATCTCTAGGCGTCTCTTCTTCTCTAATTTATTTACTACCCCTCGAGAAGTATGAAATTTAACATAAATTACTCATTATAATGTTGTAATCACTCAGGTAAAGCTTGATTTTCATAGCCTTCAGTCTTATTTAGTTACAGAACAATAAAATAGAAAATGAGAACGCTCTTGTCATGCTCACCTGTCACATCCTCTCTTTCAGAACTTGCCAACAGTTCACTATGACATTTAAGACTCTATTATTTTTAATCAATAGAAAGCCAAAGCTTTTCTCTGTCAAATGATGTATTACATTATGTTGTTTTCTGTACAGAAAATTGTCTGTTTTTCTTCCAGGTCAAATTTTATTCACATGGGAAACACATCAAGAGCTTAGCTGAATTTTTAACGGCCTTTGTCGCACAGTTAGAAAAACAGAATAATATTACTCTATATTCTTTGATGCAATATTTAATTAAATAAAAATCATTTAATGCAGTAGTACCATTAGTATAAAAAAGTAGGGTTATGTTTCGTCAACAGCAAAGGTAAGTACTTTATTTCTTGTTATAAAAGTAACTAAAATTTAAGACTTTTTAGGTTAGTTAAAGAAAAATAAATAATAATAATAATTTTTGTGAGGTACTTTTGTGAGTAATTTGTGCATTCTGTAATTTGATACCCTAATGTGAGCTGCATGCTAACCATGTGATTTGCAATTTTTAGTTAAAATATTTTACATGTCAGAAGTTAAAGAACAGTTTAATTCTTCCAGTTATATTAGGGACTAATTTATTAAAATAAAGCATACTTTTCAAAGTAACTATTCATTATTAATTGGAACTAAAAATTCCCATTTTCAATGCTTAAACAGGTGTTTTTATCTTTAAACCGAGACAATAGCCTTAGTAACATTAACAGAATATGGTAAAATTTATTCACTTAGCTTTCCCTCCCTCTAGTTAATAATTCTGACACATATTTTGTCATCACATGGTAACACCCTGTTGTTACATCCTATTACACGTAGTCCCTAGACACATTATAAACCTTTATATTATAATATAATATTATAGTGTGTATAAACCTCTTTGTTTGGATTTGTATCGTAACTGAAGAAGACAGTTCAGTGCTTTGTAGAAACATGTAGTATGTATTAAATTTTTTCATTATACTTACAAATTATTATGTCTTATATATACAAGACATTCAGTGGCTAGGAAATATTAAGTTTTAATATTTTATGAAATAGTTTATTATATGATAAGATGTTCAGTGGTTAGGAAGTATTAAGTTTTAATATTTTATGAAATAGTTTATTATATGATGATAAGATGTTCAGTGGTTAGGAAGTATTAAGTTTTAATATTTTATGAAATAGTTTATTATATGATGATAAGATGTTCAGTGGTTAGGAAGTATCAGGTTTTAATATTTTATGAAATAGTTTATTATATGATGATAAGGAAGTATCAAGTTTTAATGAAATAGTTTATTATATGATAAGACATTCAATGGTTAGGAAGTATCAGGTTTTAATATTTTATGAAGTAGTTTATTATATGATAATAAGACATTCAGTGGTTAGGAAGTATTAAGTTTTAATATTTTATGAAATAGTTTATTATATGATAAGACATACAGTGGTTAGGAAGTATCAAGTTTTAATGAAATAGTTTATTATATGATAAGACATTTAATGGTTAGGAAGTATCAGGTTTTAACATTTTATGAAATAGTTTATTATATGATGATAAGACAATCAGTGGTTAGGAAGTATCAAGTTTCAATATTTTATGATGTAGTTTATTATATGATAATAAGATATTTAGTGGTTAGGAAGTATTAAGTTTTAATATTTTATGAAATAGTTTATTATATGATAAGACATTTAATGGTTAGGAAGTATCAGGTTTTAGTGAAGTAATTTATTATATAATAACAAACAAGACATTTAGTGGTGAGGAAGTATCATGTTTTTGAATAAAGCATGCTCCAAAGTAATTTCATAGTACACTATATTTATTTCATTAGTGAACAAATACTGGAAAAAATCTTTCTCAAAACTTGTATAAGGTTGAAAGTTTGAGATCCATGTCTATTACAGATTGTTAACTCTTAATTTGCTAATTTACCAAGTCTTTGGAATTTACATATAGAAAATTTACATATAGAAAATTTCATTACACTTCACAAAATACTGGTGTTAAATGAATAACTTGTGTTGTCTATCCAGTATAATAATACTATGTGTAATTTTTTCATTTTTATGATTGTGAGTAGACTTAAAGTTGATTTTCCTTTCTCCTTTACTTAGATTACTAAGACATGGCTAGTCTGTGAAAATGTGTGTTTCAACTGTCCTCAGTTTAAATTTTACCAAATTAAAAAAAAAAATTGTCTCGCTGAAAATGGAGTAAGTATTGATGTTTCACGCTCACTCAAGATGGTTGGTTGGTTCGTTTATATTTAGCTTTTACCAAATGTACATGTTCAGTATTGTATTTTGTTATTGTTGACCAATTGGTTTATAGCATGTCTCACGTGAAAACCTTAGTCTTAAAAACATTGTATGCAAGTTTTATTATTTAAATGTAAGAGCACTGTTCTATATAAACTCCATGGTGCCAAAAGAAAATTACTAACTAATGATGGACACGTTACTTTTAGGTAAAAAATTTTATTCTGCAAGTTAAAGCAAACAAAAGTTATGACACCTGTGGTTTTTGTTGCATGGAGAAGGAATTTTTAAATTTGTTATTTCAAAGTACACACTTTTAGCTTAATATTAACTTTATCTTATTTGTGTATGCTGTTTTAAGTTTTCCTTTACATATCACTATAAAACCTATATGTGAAGAATATGTAACATTAATGTTACAGATTTTTTCTTCTTAATTATTCAGTGAACAAGCTTTTAAGACAATGTCATTTTTTTCTTTCTTCACCAAAATTGTGAATGTGGGAAAGAAAAAAAAATCTGTCCAGGCTACTTATGGGTGATGGAATTTCCCTGAAACCAGTCTAACTCGGTGATAATTGTGGCATTGAATGGCACTGGGATTCAAATTTTTTTCAACCAAAATTCATATTTGGAAGATGAAAGAAAAAATTACAGTAATTCATTCTTACAAAGTAAAATCATTACATAAAGTAAAATCAGAAGATCTTTTATGGTTACTACTTTAATTTGTGAGATTTTTGGTACTTTGTGTTCAAAACTATGAGTAAGTTGTTGTGTAAAAATATACAGTGTGTGTAGATTAGTGGCTTTTAAAATATAATGCTAGTGGAATCAGTGTAAGTTATTGTCTAAATGTATGATTTTTACTTAAAAGGGAGAAAACATCCTGCCGAGTTTTAAAACATAACCCTTGGTATCTTCTCTTTCGAGTTAGTAACTAATGGTGAAAACAAAATGTATATTTAAATGTTACTGTCATAGTGTACAGCAGAAAACAATTTTATTTTGACATTTGTTTCTTCAACCAGATGATACTCCTTTTTAAGAATTTGTTACTAGTGGACAAGCATCATCATAAAAATCAATTGGTGATATATTTCCGTTTGTTTTTATGACTTTCATCTAAACCTTTTTTGAACATAAAGCATTGTTTTAAGTTTTACTTGAATATGAGTTTAGGGTGCAGGTTGGTCTAGTGATAGAGCTGATTGTCACAATATAATGTTTTGCCTAATTGAAGTGAATTTGTTCTTGAAGAACAAAAATTTTAAAATTAGAATTATTAGTTTAGGGTGCAGGTTGGTCTAGTGATAGAGCTGTTGAGCCAAGTTGAATCTGTGCAGTACTGCAAAATAATCCTTGCACTTTAAGCTGTGGGTGTGTTGTAAAAGTGACAGTCTCTCAGCATGGCTAGTAGGATGCTACTGACTGGCTGCCTATCCTCCAGTCAGCCTAAGTATCTTTGCCTTTAGTCAAAGTGATTGTCACAATATAATGTTTTGCCTAATTGAAGTGAATTTGTTCTTGAAGAACAAAAATTTTAAAATTAGAATTATTAGTTTACTTTCGGAAGCACGTATGTAAATTTTACATTTTGTTCAGTATCAACCATATTATATTAGCATTATTGTTAGCAATTGCTCCTGATTTATATTCAATTTTATATTGTTTACTTGTGAAAAAGGAAATTTGCCACAAACTGTATCAAAAATAAGAAACTTTGAGAGACTGTTAATTTTCATTAAATATACGTTTTTTAAAATGTAGGGAGTGTTTTCAGCATTTTATCTAATTTCATTCTGGTGCTGTAATTTTACAGGAATGTGGATCTCCTGTGTTTAATTGCTCATTAAAAGAATTCCTAATTATATCTTGTTTGTTCTTCTTCAGAGCATAGAGTATATATTGACGAAGAATATATGAATGTTTTGGGTGATTTTTTTATAACATGGTCCTACATAGTAAATATTTCTTCCATAATGTATTAAAAAATCTCTTAATTGAATGGAAATTTCAGTAGACTATAACATTGTTAATAAACAAAAAAAAATCCACAACTGATAGACTCTAATGAACTAGGTTTAAAATGTGGTTCTAGGAGAAACTTAAATTTTTCTACTACTGTTTACAAAAGTACTTTTAGTTGTATTTATATAAAACACAAAACAGATGTGAGGCTTTAATATGAATAATTGGAAACCTTAAGCTAAATACTTATCAGAAATGAATTATAAGATTTTTAAACAAACTGGAAAAACTTATTCTTCCAAAAGATCTTTTTATTTTTATATAATTACTTAGTTGAGTGCTCTACGTTCAACCATTGGAGTAGAGTAAGTTTCTAAAAGATGTCAAGCATCATTGTAGAAACTTACTATTGTTTTGCAAAAGTTTGCTTTTTTTTTTTGTAGAGTAAAATCTAACATTTATTCAGTTATGAATGCAGTATTTATATATTTTCTTGAAAATTAGAATTTCACAATTTATGCAAGTCTATCAGTAGAAATCAAAAATGGAAAACAATTATTTAGGTAATAATTATAGTACATGTACATTGTGTTTCAAAATTTGGGGGATAAATTTCATATTGGTAAATTGATTCCTTAAACTTCTTATTTACTATAATCGGTGTTCTCCACTATTTCTTTTCCCGGTGACCATATTACGGACATACTTTTGTATCACACAGAATCCAATGATATATGGTTTGTAGAGCCTTTTTTCAATATAATATACCAATCATATATAACATGTTTGATATTTTAAATAATGGGAAAATTCCAGGTTGTGAAGGAGTTTAAACAATAACAGGGCCAATTATGAGCAGTATCACTGAAGTCAGTAAAGTTATTCATCAAAAAAAAAAAAGCTTTGAAGAATAAGAGCAAACAGAAAGGTCTCTGAAAAAATTCACCCTACAGTTTCTACAGCAGCAGAAAGGTCTCTGAAAAAATAAATTGACCCTACAATTTCTATAGCAGCAGAAAGGTCTCTGAAAAAATAAATTCACCCTACACTTTCTACCCCCCCCCCCTGGTGGTTCATAACCAATTATGTAGCTTTGCACTTAACAACAAACACACTTAAGATATTTTGATACAAAGATTCACAAAGAACAAGTACTTTACCCATGATATTTGGTTTCATTCTCCATGGATTCTTATTTATATTGTTTTGTTCATCATATGATATAGTCCCTGTGGTTTACTTTGAGTAACAAGAATTTTTATATTTTACAGCAGCTTATCTAACATTTATCTCTGACATTTTGACATATCTTCCTTTGGACTGAAAATATTTTGCCTTTTATAAGATATCCATTTGTATAATGTACTATACAGGTACAAGGTTAATAGTTTTCAAAAGATAAGAGAAGCACTCATTCATGTGTCATTACTTATTATTACAACTCTATCATTTCATTGAAAAATACACCAAAAGTACCCCCCCCCCTTTTTTTTTCTTTACATAAATGCTAACTACAAATGTACAATTCAGGAAATATACAGGTATTTCATACATATAAAACAATGTTATTTTACAATATCAATACATTATCCTTTATTTTTGCACACTGATATTTTAAACAAATAAACAACAAAATCCAGCATCCGTTTTCTAAAACTACCTACTGGATAATGTGCCCCAAAATGTCTTGAAACATTATAGTTTTGGAGAGTCAAAAGAATAAGCATGCAATAGCCACTTCAGCAGTCTACACATCCAAGGTATCTGGACATCATCATTTTACATTTGGTTAAAAAATAAGGTTCTACACAGTTTATCTGTTCCATCCTTTGAGCAATTTCACTACGTAAATAAAATAATAATAGGACTTTTACGTTCAACATTTTCTTTTTGATTGATATTATGTAAACTGTAATATCATAGTTATATTTTATCACCCACTGATAAGTGGTTGTAATAGTATTTCTTTTAATAACATGCATCGTATTTAATTTCACAGATTAAATGATACAACCTTACCATACTGTTTTTTCACAAAAACTGGTGAGACATAATATTGTACTGTGGTCCTTATATAAATTAAGAATCAGCCAACAGAAAATATTCAGTGCAATATTTAGATTTCCTGACACAGTTAAAGAACATGTTAAATTGCCAAACCAGTGTTGGATGTTATATCAAATATGTTACAACAGAGTTTAATATTCAGTTGCCATGGTCATTTCAGGAGTTGTTAACAAGTAATTATGTCAACAATTTTATAGTCTGCCACATTCTGAATAAAAAAAAAGTATTATGAATAAAATAATTGCTACAGGTGCTATAATAACATAAATAACAAACATGAGCTTTGTACTTCACATCTAAATCTCACGGAACACACATAAAAAAACAACATATTTTTTTTGTTAGATCATATATCAGAAGCAGACAGTGATAAATTTGTTGCTTGGTAAATATATCTCACTTCCTATTGAAAAAAACTAACTTTTTTATTATTTTCTTTTAAACAAGTATAATTTCACTATATATTTAAAAGTGTAGGTAAAACCACTGAATACATTGAATTATCAGCATCATGAACATATCTGTAAACATACTATAGTATAATGTGGGAAACAGAAAACTTGCAGAAGTCATGCAAAAATGAAAGATCAAACATGCATTTGAAGTTCAAACTTTTAATATTACATACTTTTTGTCAGTCCCGTTAGGTTTAATGTATGCATACATCCACCTATCACCTACATACTACTACTAACATAAAACTCACTCACAGGCTACTTAAGTAGATTTGTAATATTAAATAAACCTCCAGTTTTATTGCAACTTGACCATGCTTGTACTTATGATAATGTAAAATAACTGAATCAATATTACAGATAACTGGGTCATTAAATAACCAAAGAGCTTACTCTAATTTGTATTAATGAAGATATATAAAACAATGATTTCATAATTCCAATAGCACTTTTAATTGGATGCTCAAATAAACTAGTCTGCAAAACCTATTCATTCAAAGTATGAATCTTCATCTGATAAACTTGTAAACACTTAAAATAATATTTTTTTTTCCCCCTTTAGCCTTATACCCAATTAGAAAAGTAAAACACGCAGGTTACAAAACCAAGTTGCATGTTGACACACACATTTACATTTTTTTTTTGTATTACAAACATGGCCTTCTATACAAGATACAAAGCTTTTCAATATTACACAGTATAAAATGCAGCTGTGTATTCCCACCTATACCAGCTAATTGACAAGTTACATGAAACATCCAGTGGCCCTATATTACCAACTTGCCATCCAATAGTGCAAACCTAGAACTATTACAAACAATGTTGTCTTCCAACCTTTTAATACAGAATGTTCACATTCTCTGTATTATTACAATTATTGTAAACTTTCAGTACAGGTAACACGAGAGTACTAAAATAATTAAAAATATTCCCAAAACAAAAACATAATATGTACTTGAATTAACAAGGCACAAGTAATTTAAGTTTTACAGATAAAATTTTTTTTTATAGTTATGACAGTGATGCATCTTTCAAAGATACGTCATTATTCACGATATAAATGTAATTAATGATACTGTAATGTTACTATCCCACAAACTCATGCTTCACGTAACACGTTTTCCAAAATTTCATCAAAGTAACAGTAAAAACTAGTTTTCAAGAAACTCCATTGCCTTTAGAAATTATTCACATTAATTTCCATCCAATGCATCAAAATTGTGTAAACACGTAATGGAAATAAATATTAACCATTTTGTAAAAAAATTGACACATCAAGTCTTGTGAATAATTTAACTGACATTTTCTCATGTCTAATGTTGGTTCTACCTGGGTGTTGGCAGTGAAAGAAATGAAGTGTGTACTACGGCATAAATAAAATTAACATTTATAAAGAGGATTATTAAACGAGTTTCAGTTGTACACTCCTGAATTAATGTGTTATGTTTGGTGGCAAACTTCATGCATTTTCTCAATATTCCTTTAACTTTTCCATCTTTCAAATATTATAGAGATGAAAGTGAAAAATGCTACAAGTTAGGTAGTACACGTAGGTAAAAGCTTAAGTTCAGTGGTTTATTCTGATTCATAGAAATTAAATTCTAAAGCTTGAACTGAAAGTCATAACTTAAGAATTAGTTTTATTTTTCTTCAAGGTACTGATTTCAATGAGATAGCACTAATGGAGAACTTTCGTTGTTCGTTTCCAAACATTTTGATTCATGCTTTATGATGGTTAGCCAATTATCAGAGCACTGCAATTCCTGCTTCACATCGGCTGGTCGGCATGCGAGTACTCTCTGTCCATGAATTGGTCTCGGGGTCATAAACTTCAACAGTGTTAAGAGTCACTGGAGCAGAAAACTCATCACTAGATGTACGCCCTCCAATAACAAGAAGCCGTCCATTGACTGAGATAACCGACGCACCTGCCCGTGCAGTTTTGACTGAAGTAACTTCAGTCCATTTGTTCTGTAATAAAGTATAAACATAACAGAATACTTTCAACATGGAAGCTCTTATTACTAAGAAACAACAGTAATATTTTGTGATGAGTTAATATTCTTATTGCTCGGTGGTTTATAATAATGGATTTAATCCCCGTGAGAACTTTCATTCATTTATAAGTAACTGTTATATAAACTCAGGCCCAAAATGCTCTCATTTCCATGCATTAACTAATTTATTTTCCTTAATAATCAACAGACGTCATAATTTAAATGTTGGAAGAATATTAGTGAAACACATATAAATGGGCTTGCACCATGTTAAAACCTTTTTTACTTGCAGTCTTTTGATCCTATGACTACCATTGGGCTAACTACATAGAAATCTTCATTTTACCTTATTTGTTTGAGTTATGTAGATTTAGTTAGCCCAAAGATGGTCCTAGGAACAGATCAAAAACTTGCAAATAAGCTTTTAACTTAGTGTAAACAAATTTATAGGTGTTCTCAGAATTTTTCTTTTTAAATTTCGTACATGAGGGATATCTGCACTAGCCATCCCTAATTTAGCAGTGAAAGAATAGAGGGAAGGTAGCTAGTCATCACCACCTACCGCCAACTCTTGGGCTACTCTTTTACCAACAAATAATGGGATTAACCATCACATTATAATGCCCCCACGGCTGAAAGGGCAAGCATGTTTGGTGGGATGGAGATTCGAACCAACAACACTCAGATTGCGAGTCAAGCACCATAACCACATTCTAAGGATATATTTTTCCTTAATTTTTTTTACCTCTTCAATGGAATAACGCTCCACTGTCCGTAGTGCTGCATGACGGTTATTGGTCCCTCCAACGGTATATATCTGATCATGTAATACGGCAACTCCAACATAGGCACATCGAGTACTCAGGGGTGCAAGACGATTCCACTCTCCAGTAACGGGATTGAAACTTTCAACTAGGTCTAGCTCTGTACTCAAAGCACTTAGCCCACCAATTATGTAAATTAATCCTGAAATGTAATGCAGAAGTTTATCATTAGAATAATATTCTTACAACTGATTTTACATAAATTCACATAAATAAGGCACATTCAAAACTTCTGTGGGATCTTAACATCACTGGCAAAATATCACTGAGCTAAGCCAAAAATAGAATTATCTATAGATAAACTTGAACTAATGAATCGTCAATTGACTATATATATAAAATGAAAGAGAGAGAGAGATTTCTCAGGTTTAGAGATTCTTATGATTTTCATAATTCCTGTGAATTAAATGAGATTTTTCCTATTGGTTTGGATAATGTCAATACATTTTCCACCTGATGACAGCTTTGTTAAACTGTTACCATAGTTGGTCTAGTCAAACGATTCAATATACACAATACTCTAAATATATAATGTCATGTGAATGACAACTAAGTGCACACCTTTCCCTTTAGGAAAATATTATTTTTTAACTAATGAGTTTTTTAAGTTTTAGCCAAAAAAATTCCATTTAACCTCTTCATTACTTTTTTTTATTTACTTGTGTTTTACTAACCTATAAAAACCTCCCACCCAGGATAGTGCTATAAAATAGAGGTAAAACCTAAAAACCTTTCTTTTTACTTCACATACAACTAAACAAAACATTATCTAAAAATATAAAAACAATTAATCAAATTTGGAGATAACAGGCAATCCTCTACACAACAAGAAACCTATCAAATGTAAATATTACAAGTTGATAAATTCATATATTTTTAACAACTGGCATGGCTTATAATGTATGGTAGCTTCTACTGTCAATACAGCATCTGCTTGTTGACATTTCAGTTTGTACCACAATTTTTGTTATGACTAAAAGGAAAATATTATAACTACATATCTTGGCTAAAGAACCTGCCAGACAAATTGGGATTTACGTGCAAGACCCAACTTCACTTCTGTTTTTCTATTTTTGGCAATATACAGAATTCTGCAACATGGACTTTAAAGATTATAGAAACATATTTCCTTATATATATATATGAATTGCTTTTCTACTTTTCAATGTATATTAAGGCTCAAAAATTAACTTATTTTGGCCACTGGCAAAAATTTGCCAATTACTTTAAAAGGTACTAGTAAAGGTGTCAGCCATGCTAGCAAAACGAAAGACTTGTTTTTTAAGAACAATACTACCATTTATTTAGAAAAAAATATGCACACTGTCCTGACCACCTAACTTGTAAATTCATTGAAAAATAATGCATGTCCCCCACTTCCATCTCTTATAATGTTTATGTCAGTGTGTGAAAGTAATGTCTGTTGGGTCACTAACCAAACACTTTCCTCATTATTCAGAACTGTTGATGGTAATCCTCATGAGTGTCTGTGTCCAGGCTGCAGCATCAGTTCCTTGTTATCCTCTTCAGGGTACTCTCAAAGCATGCAGTAGATAGGGAATAACTTTGAAGGAATGAATTACATTCAGAATGTTCTGAAAGTCTCCTCTGTCAGCATGATCCTGGTTTATAGGCTGCCACACAGACAGTGGATAAGTGGCAGCAAACAGATGGCCAGTCTGCCTTCATCTAGGACAGCCTGGTTGTCACAATTCTGTAAGATGGTGAATTTCATCCATACCATAAAGATGAAGATTCTTGTCAAGCCAACACATTTGGTCAAACAGGTATGTGGCTGTAAATTTTATCTCAGTTTGGTCACTTCTAAAGTGCAAGTCAAAGAAACTGTTCATAGCTAACAACAATCTGTCAGATCTTTAGATTTCATATTGTTTAGCGAGTTCTCCTTCAATTGTTCTTTCTGAAATGTATATGCCAGAACTCACTTTCCATGAGTCCTTCTTCATCTTGCATAAGAAGAAACACGGTCTGTCTGTACACTTTCTACTTTGGCCAAGGCACTGGGCATAGTGATGTTATTTCACTGAATCACAAAGCAGACTGCTATTTCTTACAGGGTTTTAGAACAAGCCAAAGTGCATCTACTACCAACAGTGTGTCTAATGCTGAAATTGACACTTGCACCATCTGCTCCAATGGCTACCATCCTAGGTTTAAGTTCACTTGGTAAAAAACTTAAAATCTTGGAAGGTTGCTTCCAACATTTCCTGAATACATTGAGACTTGGCATTTTTTTAAATCTACAAGTTAAAGTATGCAACATGAGATAAAATATTTTTATTATTTAGACACACACATTTTCTGTGTCATTATTGCTACAATCAACCATCAAGAAAATTAGGTCAGCACCATGTAGTTGTTGACATTATTCATTGTACAGAGTACAGGCTTTATCATTCTAGTGAGTCCTGCCTATTGAGATGTCTTTCTGTAGTTCTAGTAGTTGTACGAAGTCAGTATTTACCTCTTATTGATGGCTGCCTTGAAAACTTTTCTATTTTGATAGAAATGCCAATTTTTTGTGGTCTTTTTTCCATATCTCTTGGCTCATTTATTTAGTTACTTTGGTTGACTATGCTAGGTTGTTAGAAGTAAGTCTCCAATTGAGAAATGACAATGTATAGATCAATGTAATCACAATTTGTGGTTGACTTCATTCTGGCACCTGAAAACACAAAATCCTCTAGTGTAGACTTCATAGCCAACTTGTTTTCTTTTCTAAGAGATCAAGCCCATCAAAAACAAAAGATTCACAAGTTCCTTACTTTTATGAAGGCTGGCTTCCATGAGGCAACCCATAAGCCATACAGAAGTTGCCTCCATAGGCTGCATGAGGTGACCCATAAGACATACAGAAGTTGCCTCCATAGGCTACATGAGGTGACCTATAAGACATACAGAAGTTGCCTCCATAGGCTGCATGAGGTGACCTATAAGACAT